CCCCAAAACCCCAAAACCCCAAAACCCCAAAACCCCAAAACCCCAAGCGATTGAAATAATTTCTTTTCAATAGCTGCAAATTATAACAAATAAATATATCAATATAATTGAATGAAATCTAAAGGCAGAGCAAATAAGCCTAAAAAACCTAGCTGCACCTTTACAGTGATGTGCTGCATGGCCAATAAGAGAAAATCTCGAGTGCTCCCATAAGTAGACAGAAAGTCTGTATTCATTAACAACAAAATGATTTCCAAAACCCTTACAACGCAATTTATGCAGGAAAATGAATATGTTTAAGAATAAGAATCTATAAATATATTGAGAACATTAAGATTAAAATAAAAAGACACTATACAATTAGAAAATTTATCATTTCAAACAAGCAACAAGCTTATCATTGAAAATAATCAACAATAAGCATCAAACTTGAGTAATAACAAGGATGTCATTCGTTTTGAATAAATTGAGGGGAAAAATAAACAGAAATATAGGATCAGGTCTAATACATGGACTTTTAAAAATGATTAAGTTAGTTATGAGAGTTCCCCTCATTAATAGACTGATTAAGAAGATGCCAATTTTGAGGACAACTCTTAAAGTTTCAAAAGTTCCTTTAGAAAGTAGTATAGTAGTCACCGTTCTCATAATCCAATACGAAACGGAGATGCATCTTTTAACAGCTCAATTCAAAGCTATACAGATTCTCAAAATAGTTCAATTCAGAATGAAAGTAGTAGTCTGATAATATAAAAGTTTGAACTTGAGGGAGCTTAAGATCTTATAAATTTAGGCAAGAACTAGAGTAACATAGATGAATAAGATGAAACTTCTCTTTTATCTCTTGAAATTATTTCAAATTTAAACACTGATGACTTCTCAGTTAATGACTCATTTGAAAGAGAGTAAAGATCCCATAAATATCAGAGTATGAATACTGTAATAAATAGATATAGCAACATTATCGCTAATTTGTATTAAGAGAATGGCAAAAAATATTCTCATCAAACTGATTTTTTGTCCTAAAAATTAATTGATTTAACCCTTTCTCATTTTCAAAACATGGACAAGTAAAAACGAAATACTAAAAGATTAGAGGATTAGATAAAATCCATTAATATTGTTAAACATAATAAAACTAATGATGAAATCGAACATTGTAAAATGAATTTCGGGCCTAAAATAAATACCAACTAAGGTGAATTGATGGCCATTAAAGTAAAATAACGACGAGAGGATATTGTATAGAGTCCTATATAAAGGAAGCTTTTGGTTCATTAAAATCTAAACTATTGACGATAGACTCTAAAACTTATCTTTTCCCATATTTGAGAGATAATTAAAATTCATCCAGTGGCCTAAAGTATTTAGGTTTATAAATGAGAAATCTTACATATTAACTTCTAACTATCGTATTAACTAAATATTAAATATATTTTCAAAGGCAAATTTTACTATTCTCAATATTTTATTATCATACTCACATGGGGTTTTGGGGTTTTGGGG